GGGTAAGTACAGCTCAATTCCATGATGGTGTATACTACTGATTGACTGGTATGAATAGTTGGAAAACTACTATGGGTAAAATTTATTTTGATAAAGTCAAGGTAATATGATTATGAGCAATAAATGGTGCTCGAAACGTCATCAGTAAACATTACTGTATAACACTGTGAGACTTCATCAAAATAAACTTTACCCATAATGGAATTATACTCTATCACAGTGCATAAGTTCAATTCTTATATAAGTTGGAAAACTAGTCACATCAACCATTAATGTTTCTTAGCCAGATCGAAGTACCCTAAACACCAGACGGATGTTTCACTCACTTGGGATCAACCTCAGAAGAGTTGTACTCAGTTCAAAGAGCCAAAGCCTAGGTAGATTTTTAGCATGGAGTACTTGAAACCTCAACCGAACTGATGACCACCTACGTCACCGATTGCTGTAGTCAGGATCGTTGCCATTTGAGCTATTCAGATGCTTTATATAATGACTGTGTCACATACAAATTATATTGTAGGGATGTCAGCGGTGAAACAATAATGATCATTCTTCCCGAAGATAATAACTAGTTAATGCCTTACAATTTGAAATAACTGAAATTTGATGTTCACTAGTGACTAACGGGCTACATGACGAAGTTGCCTCGAGTCCTAGTTAGAAGTCATCACCGGTGCGGTCCATCCGGTCGGGAGTGAGGACAAATACTCGCCGATGATATTGGGTGGTTCCAGTCGCGCTAAAATCACAAATTGGTATAAGTCAGAATTCATGGGCTGGTCATTGAGTCGGGTCCCAGTGACTGAATGGTCTACAAGCTTAACTTACAATCGGAAGGTTAACGGTTCGAACTCCAGTCGGTGGGTGAGTATAACCAGTGAGTCCAAAATTAGAACAAACCAGCTTTCTAATGTTCCCTGATAATTTTCAATGGTTCTCTAATCAATATCAATCCGTGATCAAACTCTGAAACAAATCAAATCCCTACAAACATCTAACTCTTGCACTTGGAAAGGTAAAAGTGAAATTCCTATTTCTATTTATAACGATGTGATTGACTGACTGACTTAGAAACACAAAATTCAACCTAGGCATAAAACATCATTTCAATTATTCCTCTTTTTTTCAATTAACAGGAATTTTACTCCTCTTACACTCACAGATATCGAACGCCAAAGGTTTGTACGACCATGATTGATGTGCATACAGAAATAGACACACACACACACACACACAAACAAATAAACAAACAAATGTACAGACAAGGTATACACAAATGCAGACAGAGAAATTTTTTTTTGAAAAACATGACTGAGAGTGTAAAGACAGACGCAAAGCTAGACATCAGACTAAACATAGATATATAGATAATATTGAACCTATCTATGCATCTTTTGAAAACGAAGAATTACAAGGCTGATAAATTGTGGTAATGGTAATAATAATATTATTATTATCATTACTAAGGGGGAAAAAGAGACAGTTAATAATTAATTTTACATAGAGGGGAATATATATATATATATTTACATGAGTAGGAGAATTGGCTAGTTGCCAAAAGTCTACTGCACATAACTACTCTCTCTTTCTGTCTCTAAAACGCCCAATAGTTCTGTATGATATAACTCTCTCCCTCTCCGCCCCTCTCTGTCTCTTATATAAACGGTATATTTATGTATAGCAAAATACACACAAAAATATAACTGACAATTGTAAATCAGAATTAAATGAAGAAAAAAATACAGTCAATAAATTTGGGAAAAAAAGTCTATGTAACAAAACTATCACTTCATATGAATACATATACCAAAAAATATTATTTCACGTTTGATCTTGACATCCTCCTCTGAAAATAATACCTAATAAAACACAACATCGAGTATAACACGAATTTCGCCACTTTTTGAAGCTTACGTACTTCAAGAATGGAACATAGGTATTCAGGCAGATGAAAGTTCCACTAGAGTTGGTGTTATTTTTTATGGAGAGGGGGAGGAGTTGACAGTCTTACACGCCTTACCTTTTCTCTTTGCTAGGTTTACTATAGACTAATAGAAGAGTAGTTAGGTGAGTCAACCAGGAGTCGAACTAGAACGTCTTGAAGTCGCTGACTGGTGAGCATTTTCCCAATGAACCAACCACCAATGTACCCAAGGTTTAAATGATATAAAATGTACAACTAAAGGGTATTTAACAATCATGCAATAACAAAAAGTAGATTTCCAAGTCTTAGTTATACGGAATTGGCTGATTTCTAGTCTGAAAACGGATAGATATCAGTCGGAGAACCACAGAAAAACTGTGTGCACTGGTGAGTTGTTGTTTCATCTGATTTGGAACACTTCGGAAATACACACCCGTGAACCAAAGGGGGTCAAAGCTCATTGACAATTCAGCCACTGAGACGAAATCCAATGGCCCATGAATTCGGACATCTGCCATTTTGTGGTATACAGCGCCATTGCCAGACAATATAATCAACGAGTATTTGTCCTCACAAGGGACTTGGTAAACAGAAGTTATAATTCCTGGGTTGTTTGGTTCCGTCTCAGTGGATGAATTTTCAATGAGCTCACCTCATAACTTGAAGATCCTAGGTTCGATCACTCTTGGTGACGAGGTCATGGGTCCGTAATGTGAAGAGTCTCAAACTAGGACGAAGCAGATGTGTGTTACTCTCTGGTTTATAATGGTTGTCTGACTGACGTCAATTTGTGACCAAACTTGAAGAAGTACATTAAAAAAAAGTTAAAACAATGAATAGTATGACGATTTGATTATGAGAGTTTAAGTTTATAAAGAAAGATTTGACATCAAGTCTTCACTGACTTCAATTGACTAACAATCTTCGCTTTTAATAGGAGATGAATTTCCAGAGCATCGAAGCCTTAACTTAAAGATTTCTAACTACCTAACTCATACAGGATATCTAGCTGGCGCAGATTACAATAGTTTAACTAAAAGTAATGAGTAATAATACTGATTGTCTGAGTTAGTTTTCAACGTAGAACTTTGCACAAAACTGCCACAATTCAAGTTGCCACACCCCATAAGCAAACACAAATGAAGATGGGAAACAAAATGCTAGGGAGTACAATCAACGGTTATCTAAGAAAGACAGAGAGAGTAAGTACATGAAAGCTAATGAGAATTTACTGTTGGATCTGGAAGATCATAAAGAGTGAATGCAGCTGAGCAATTGAAAACGATTTCCAGTCATTGATCTTTAGTGTTCAAGGATCCCAAACATGCAATCTACACTTCCCTGCATTGTTTAAACCAGCAGTTAACACGTAGCAACCAACCTTTGAGCCTAATTTGATTTCACTATTCATCTGACATGATAGAAACAGCTTTCTAGCGAGATTATTTTTCAATTCCCCATTGCTGTGACTGTCTAGGAGAATATTTATCCCTAATATTGGAAATTATATAAGTCAACAGCCTTTTTGACTTGGTAATATCTAACACAAGATTATTTTGCAAATAAACGTCTATAATTGAATATTATTCATTTTGTTTTTCTTATTTGGCAACAATAAAAAACCAAGTATAACCTTAGGGCGAAAAATGGGAAAAAATTCCCTACAGTTTATCTATCTGCCTATAAGTATCCAGACTGCAGATGTTACGAATTTCTTGGAATAATTTGACCACCGAGTCAAAGTGAATCATTATAAATTATTGAAAATAATCCCAGAGTATTTAATTCAATTTTAGATTTTCTCTTCGATTGACTGGATCGAAGTTCTCGGTTTCAGGTTGACATGTCGGCTTCTAGTGCAGATGCTTCGACGACGTCCGGACATGTAACTCAAAGTTAATTGGTGGATAGTGACTGGCTTTCGTGGCTCAAGTAGTCTGGCACTTGAAACTATGGGCACTGGGTTCAAGCATCGGTAGGAACATCATCATCACTTACTGCGGAATGGAGGCACATCCAGAAGACGAGTCCCAAACAGGACGAAACGCGCATACTGGATTCCACTGATAGTCACCTCTCACCAATTGATCTCAGTGCTTAAGAAAATCGTATGTTGATTTTTTCTTTAACTCGTTGGGATTATTATAAATAATTTATAACCTATTCCTAGTTGATAGAATTTAGAAGCACTAAGAGCATCAAACCACACACGCTGTATGAGAACATACGTATATTTGGATTTGCTTTTCCAATACTATATATGTGGCTCATTGGTTTTAGAGCCAGTTTTGCAATCAGCAGGCCATGGGTCAGAGTCCTGCTCCAATTCCTTGAGTCTAGGCAACTGGGTGGCAGTGATACTACCACCCCTCCCCCCCCACACACACAATAATTATGACTAGTAGATTAGTTCATGAGAAGTTGGTTGGGGGTAACAGAATTCAAATAAAGAATGCTATACACCTGTAGTGAAATGCGGCCTCTCTATCCCATATGTGATTTGTCCACCAACAAACTATAGTTTACTGGGGTACACATTTAAACCTTTTAATTCAATGCATAACATTCAGGTTATGATTTCATTCAAAACTTATGTAAGCTATTGATAATACAAACAATGTCACTTTATTCCATGAATAACAAAATACACCACACTATTTATCCAGTCTGTGGGGACTGCAGACCTTGACTCAAGTTCGAATCCCGATGGTGACATTAGTCCATTTGACACGCCTTGCTGACAAATACCAGTTAACACACAACCTACTTCTTACTGACTGATGTGGTGAGTCGTTGGTTCAGTGGCAGAACATTTGCTAACCATGCGAATGACGCCGGGGTTCGATTCCCCGTCGACTCATTCCTAAACCTTGCTCAGCTGCTAGTAAGCCCAGTAAAAAGAATAGGTTAGGTGGCGTGCGGCTAGCGATCACACTCCGTAGAAAAACATTACCGCTACTAAAACTTCAGTCCCCAAGCTTGAAGACTTATGTTCCACTCAGGACGTAAAAGAATGCAAAACAAAAGACAAGTCATCCACTTTACTTCCAAAACACTATAAACAATAAAGACTTACTTATTTTCAGCTCTTGCTAAATTAGTCAAATCAACACCAAAGACCCGTTTCATTTGCTTAATATCAGGTACACAATCACACGGGACAAGATCGGCGCATCGTTTGTGAGCCTTGTGAAGAAAAAAGAAAACAAATATAGATAGAAATGCATGAAGTAAATAATTAACCATTTTAATTGCAATTATTCAAAAACCATATATGGAAATCTATAGTTAAAGCTAGCATACAAGAGAGGGTGCGTCGGTGGCACAGTGGTAGAATGCTCGCCGACCACGCATGTGGTCCGGAGTTCGATCCCCGGCCACTGATGCACTTCTTTATCTCGCTAAGCCAGTAGTACGACTGGTGAAGAGGGAGGTTGGGCATGATGCTAGCAACTCCATCCTGTAAAAATAATCACCACTGCTACAGAAACTTCAAGCCTCTAGCTTGAAGCCCTATGTTCGACATAAAGGAATAATTTAAAGAAATACAAGAGAGGAGATGAAAGGTATTTAAGCAATACAGATTTTAAGGAGTTAGGCAACTCAGACATGTATGTGTGTCTTTACAAGTTAGACTTCTACCATAAAGCTTGAGCTATCGGAATCCACCTGAAGCAGCCGAACTCGTCTTCATCAGATGAAGTTCGTACAAACGCTTTCCTTACCTGTAGCCATCATTACTTAACTGAAGAAATCTGACTATTTCACCTTCCCTATAAACCTTTTTACAAGTTTTTATTGTTTTAACTATTTTTAATTATCACATACACTTTCTTAATTTTATTAGATTAATGCATCTTATCAATTATAAATGCACTTCAAGTATGATCTATTGATCGTAACAACTCGGTATTATTTTAAAAACGCTAATGTTGTAATACTATTATGTGCATAAAACTGTAGAACCTGATGAGGAAGTTATGGGAAAGACTATTCTTTTATTTGATTTTCTTTTTGTCTTTGATTATAAGTATTATCGATTTTAAGGATATCAGTATGTGCAAACTTTCTCAGCCTGGAGAATATGTATAAATTACTATTTTTCTTAGCAAAACATTGTCTACCTAGTTTCCCAAGAAAGGCAGGAGTGCATACTCCTTGAATAAAGCTACACTTCAAAAATATGTCAACATCTGATTGGAAATGAATGAAATAAACTGAGTTAAATGTCTTTACATCCTAATCCACAATCAAACAATTTCCTAGCCACTCTCATATCAGGAATACCAAACAAGCCAATACTAAACAACAGCCAAAAAGTGCTATGAGAAGTTAGTCAGGACTCAATTACCCTGTAAAAGGCTATGAGCCATATTTATTACGTCAGGGTGGTGATAGTATGTTGATCGTCCACTGGTAGAATACTCGCCAACCATACCTCACGCGGTTTGGGGTTCGATCCTTGGTCGACGCACTTCTTAACTCCACTTAGCCGATAATAGGCCGGAAAACGGGTCATGAGGCTAACAACCTCACTCAGTGTAAAAAAATAAACAGTGCTACTGAAACTTCAAAGTTCAAGCTTGAAGCCTTATGTTCCATTCGAAACGTAAAGGGATGTTATGATAGTACCCAGTTACCCAAGGCAAAAGAAGGTGGAGAGAGAAAGATTCGAACTCAGGATCTATCACCTGAAAATCGTGTACTAAGGCCAAAAAGATAATATAATCAAAATAAACTGATAAAAATTATGCTACCTGAAATCCACAATCTATACATTTCATGCCTTGAGCAACTAATCCCCAAATAAAATGAGTACAATAATCACACCAATGAGGTCCACGATATGTATGAATTCTAAAATTATGTGGTTTCACATTAGAAATGAATGTACATGGATCAGGTAGACAAGCAATCGGTAAATTATAACGTTCTTGTAAATTACGCATAGCATCATTTTGTGCATTATCAGAATCTGTTGTATAGGATGTATCACTTTGTTGTTTAATTGAACTTGATCCACTTCCATTCAATTTAGAAGTTCCATTTGGAAAATATTGATCATACAGATTACTTCCTGATGATGTATGTCTTGGAGCAGGTGATTCTGAAGAAAATTCAGATTCTAATTCATACGATTGAACACCAGGTAGTAGACCTAATTGACTACTAGAGCTACTATTTGTACATGAACCTATACTACTTGATTCACCAGAGAAACAAGTAGCAAGAGGTGCTTGAAGTAAAGTTGAACCGACTGGAAGAGATTGATCACTTGAGGGAACAGTTTTAAAAGCCACTGTATTGTTCAGTGTTATTGGAGAAAAATTCGAAATCTAAGAAAAATAAAAAATGATAAAATTTTATCGTTAATAATTTCAATGGTTGTGAATTGTGTAGACAAAATAAAAATTGTCAAGAGTGAGTTTGTAGGCATTTGATTTGTTTCAAGTTTGATCATGGATTGATAACAGTTAGAGAACATTGAAAATTATTCTGATGCTTCTAGTGACTGACTGGCTACACGACGAAGTTGTCTCGACTTCTAGTCAGAAGTCGTCACTAGTGCAATTCCCCCGGTCCTCATTGAGGACAAACACTCGTCGATAACATTAGCTGGTGTCAGTCGCGCTAAAACCACGAATCTGTATAGGTTAGAATTCATGGGCTGATAATTCACTCGGGTCCCAGTGTCTGAGTGGTCTAAGAGTTTGTGTTGTGACCCGAAGGTCCTGAGTGTGATCCCCAGTCAGTCAGTGCGTAGGTACTACCGACGAGTGCCAAACCAGGACGAAACAACCGTCTAGTCCTTAATCCCCACAGGTTTTCAATGGTTTTCTAAATGATATCAATCCGTGATCAAAGTTGAAAATATGAATCCTCAAGTGTTCGTTTGTAGGAATCTCATTACTTCCAAGTTCGATCAGGGAGTGATATCACTTGGAGAACCACTGAAGTCTAGGAAGTAATGGACAGCTGTCTTGTCCTACTTTCGGAATCTTCAGCAGTACACACCATGACTCCAATGGGGATCGAACCTAGGACCTTCAGTTACAAGATGAACTCGGTGACCATTCAGCCACTGGATGGAATCCAATAAAAATCTAATAAGAATTGACTTAGACTCTTGCAAATGAATATTCCAATGTCAGGGTTAATAGATGAAACACACAACTTTGTATCAGCTACACAAAAGATCCTACAGTTGTTATGCTTACACGTGATAACTATTCAAAAGGTATGTTATAATGTGTCGTCAGTATCAATAAGTGTTTTAGTTCATTTATTAACTTAACTTGTTTACACCTTTTTCATTATTAGATATGCATATTATCCAGTAAGAAATAATAATAATAAGATCAATAAAATATCTACTTACTGATTGATTAACTGGTCGCAGATCAGAGGATATAATAGATGACGAATTTGGACCAGAAAATATTGATCCTGAAGCAGGAAAATTGGTGTATAAGTTTGTATTATGTGAAACAGTTTGTGTTGTGAAAGATACAACATCAGAGGAAGACTGTGAAGAGCTTACAATGGAGTGTTTACCTACAGGAGGTGGTCCTAATCTTAAATGAGAAAATCCTACTTCAATGTTAGAAGGAGGGATAGCTGTAACAATAGTTTGTTGTTGTGGTGAATTGCACACGGACTGTTGAATAGCCGCTAATGGCGGATAATTACGATAATCTTTAACTTCATGTTTATCATCAGGCCAATCACGAATAAGGGGTTTTGTACAGATAGTGGATTGAGATTTAACATGACCATCAAGATGACTTGCATCCATTGACTGCCGACGAGTTGCCAATGGTTGTTTTGAATTATTTGCATAGCGCTGAGAAGCATGGAGATGTTTTAAAGGAGAGGGTAGAGGACGTTCTTTAGTCATCAATTTGTTTTCAGATGACTTTAGGTTAAGACATGCTTCCACTGCTTGTGCATTGAAAGTGTGGTATCGGACCTATGGGGAAAATTAAAAAGACAAAAAGCTATTACTTTTTCATAGGTATATTCGAAAAAAAATTGTTTCATATCAACGAAAAAGATTTGCCACTCACAGAAGCAAAACTTTGTCTCAAAATCTATGTGATTAGCTATTCATAATACTCATTTTTATTGATTTTAGAGAGAACAAACTCTCGGGGAAAATGTAATCTAAGCCTTAGTGATCCAAAAAGAATTTAGTCACCGAACCACTAAATGCAGACACAATCATCTGGACCAAAATGAGATGTGTCTACCTTCATCTCTATAATGCATTATCAGCCATTCATACCTCATATCAAGTACCATACAGTAAAAAACAGTACTTAAGATTTCGAGAACTACGAAAGACGTAAGGAGGCTAAAATAGAGGACAACAGTGGATAGGAGGATTAAAATTAAGTGGCGGTATAATGTAGGAAGTAAACAACATATATCACCTGTAACAAAGAAATAACGCATTGTCACCACTCGCATTAATTATACTTAACGATGACTAAATTCCATTAACACGGATATTCATAATTTCTTAAATGAAGTACAATGGCTGGTGTTTTAAAGAAATTTATGAAGATTAGAATTTATGCCATTTTACTGGTAGTCTATGGTTTCCATTTGATTCGCTTTAAAACCAATAGATAGCCCACATCAGGCTTAAATTCATTAGTTAATACAAAGATGAAATCCATTCTGAAGGATATATTAAGACTAAAAGTGGAAAACTGCAACAAAAAAACAATTTTACTGAAAAACGTATCACAAATATGTTGACAGTGCTCTGAAAAGTAGCTGACTGACAGCAGTGCTTACAATGACTTAAAATTGCAAAAGTTTCGTATATTTTGTATTTAAAATTTTTTATTTTAGCTTGATTCCACACAGTATTTTGGTACAAGTATAGAATTTTCATTATACGATATCGATTTGCCGAAAGTAAACACACAGACAACATTTATCCTGGAGACCTACACTTTCCATGATTAAGTCGCCCCGGCACAAAGTTGCTCTCTGGCTCGCAGAGGAGTTGGAACCTGTTAGCTAACGGCTGGCTGGATAAATCGTGAATGATTTTAATCACTCCGTTGAAAGCTTGAGGCACATTAAAGTTCTCAATAAGTTCATGGTGTCATTTAATGTAATTCCTCTGCTTACAATGATTCCGATTCATGAATCCCTCAATAGTATTTGTTAGCATTTTAAAATTATCCCTTGTTACTAATATGCATTATGTTTCTGTTCAATAATACTCCATCTCCAAGCAGTTGATATTGATATTGGAAGTCCAGTGGGCCCTGTATTAGATATCTTTATGTCTAAACATGAAATAAGAAAGCTTAGGTGTGCAGTAGACGAAATAGCTTCTTATTTCAAGTATGTTGATGACACATTCGTAGTGTGCAACAATAAAGGTCAATCATCTTACCCACTTGGATTATTCAGTGACACAAAAATGTAGAGTTTACTAATCCAGATGAAAGTAACAAGAATTTTATTTTGTCGACTTCAACATGGAGTGCTTGCAAAACGTAAGTCTCCAAACAACCATTAGCTGAGTCTAAGTGAAGTGAGTAATACTTAAATTTCAATAGTTTTTGTCCTATCAACTATTAGCAAACATTGGCCAAAACGCTGTATCAATGATACGCTCTATTAAGAAATTGCAAGAATACTTGCTAAGTCTTTAGAAATAACGGTTACCTACAGAAACTCATTAACAAGTGCTAAAGGTCTAAAGATGTGAATACAAAACAAACCATAGTGAACAAGAAGTCTATATTCATACAATTCAACAACGTATTAAATATTTCACTGGCCGCAGTCTATCCTACAGCCAAGTTGGTTCTGCTTTAAGAAACGATATGTTGTCAGGTGCAACCGAAGGTTAACAGATAGCTTTTCAAAATTAACTCTAATTATTTATGCAAATCTACTTGTACCCGCGGTAGCAGTTACAGCGGGAGAACAGAAAGAACAAACCTAAGATTCTTCGAACAAGTGCCAAGTACTCTAGCATTCAAGGGAACAAACGATTTTAACAGTGCTATTACCAAGTATCTCGTTGACACAGGTCATAAAGTAGGTGTCTTCAAAACCTTTAAGACAATTGGTAGACTATGCAATTTGATTCTTCTTAAACTTACGGAAGTCACTGATATCAAACGTTTGAAAACCGACCTAAATTTTTCAGGAAGAAGAAGTTATCAGTCTCATTTTACCCGTGACACCAATTCCTTAACTTCCCTTCTTAATTCAGTACATAATTTTTTTGCTTTGACACATTCCCTTTTGGTATTTTATGGTTCTTGCTTTTGTTTCTATTGAGTTGGATTTAAAACATTGTTACGAAAATTACTAGTTACTTATCACCAACTAACCTATATCTTACCTTTCTAAACCGGCTCCTTCAGAGTACCAAAATTTCCTCTCAAAAATCAACTAGAATCGTCTGTGTACAGATTGTATAACTTCAGGGCACAATTTATTACTTTTGCAGTATACCATTAACAGACAATTTCTCTGTACATATACATAATAAAAATGGTTTAGGTTGCGTGTCTGACATGAAACCAACAAAGAAAAGTGATATCTTATTCTACTCAAAGCCTTGTGTTTGCCTTATTGAAATTCACAAACAGGAAAATGAATGTGAAATCTTTTAAAACAGGTTGTTGGAAAACTTTCTGAATATTTATAATAAATCAAGAGATAATACATGGTACTACTCATCCAAAACACCTAGTTAACACTAACATCCGAACCGATACAGGTAATATGGCGCACACACACACCACTGTAAAACTAGGCACTCAATTAAGCATCTTGAGTAGAACTTCCAGACTTAATGGGTGTGAAATGTATTTCATACACGTGTTCCAGTGTAAGGTGCCTATTTTTATACAATATATTGTTTTTCGACTTAAAGTGAAAATTTCCTGCACTGCATGCCTTTTGTTAGCAAGCCAGTCATGCTTAAATATCAAGAACTTTAGTAACCGTTAGTAATACCAATGCATCTCAAAAACTCAATTAATGTAAAGCTATAAAGCTTCAATGCACACATCTTAGTGAAGACAGATGAACTAAGTGACTTATTTAAGATGTCAAACAATGTAAATTTTCATATCAACCCAAAGTCGACACCCTTCCACCAGCAAATTGCACACATCGCTACTTGAAGCTTAGGGTTTCATAGTATATAAGAATACTGTTTGAAATATCAGTAAGAATAGGATGACAATGGAGTGTATACAGAAAGAGCATCAAAGTTATTAGTACATCCTTAGTTGAAATTTAATCCTTTAAGTCAAATTAGTTAGCGATACTTTTATTTAGGAGAAATATCAGTCAACTTCTCCAAAGCAACTTAGTAATTTGGCGATTGGGTTAATTTAGTCAATAACTTACAACTTTATTAAATATTTGTCCAAGTAACCACTCAGAGCAAAAGTTTCCAATTCAACGTAATAAATACGCTGTGTTCGATTGTCTTATCGAATGCCAATTTACATAACTAAAGTCTTTGGGAAAGACTCACCTTGTAAAATGGTGTTTTTTCATAAATGTTAGCTTCCGCAATCTTTTTTAAAACATCTGCACCACGCGTTTCCACGTAAAAATGGATAAGACCGTCAGCGACAAGCAGTTCTACAGTGTCGAACTTGGTCTCCCCAACATAATGCTGTTTGCTTACAGGGTCATAAAAAAGTTTGAAGTTTTTCGCGACCTTATCGAACCAGATAACCAACGTGTATGCATTTTCAGCACGCTGACTGTCTCTAATAAGGTATGATCCATCTTCAGCATTAGCAAGTAATTCCTCTGTTTGTTGACGTGATATTGGACCGTGGTACTCAATACCATACTGAGGTGGACAGTGCTTCAAAGCTTGAGTACAAGGGATAACATGTGGAGTAGGTGCTTCGCGCTGCAAATTATATACTAAAAAGTAAGTATATACCTATATAATACTTACATTTATTTTTCCAGATACGAAGTTCAAGACCTCTATCTGACATCACATTTTATTCCATAAGAAAAGCCACAAAGTATCAAGAGATTAGTATAAGCAAAACATATGCACATAAACACCGGGAGGACATTCAATCCACCGCTCAAAATATTCAAAAATTCCCCACGTTTCCTATTGGTTGTCGTCGTAAATTGTGATACATGAAAACATCTATGAAAAAAGTATCGCACATATAATACCAAATGTGTTTATTCGCCATATAAAAGGACTAGTTGCTCATGATAAGTAAGACATCATATGGTTCACTCGACCAGACCCATATTTTTGACCTATGATAAAAAGCGTCGAGACTGTGATAATGGGGTTCTATTACAGTGACTGTGCTACTGTGCTTTCTCCTTGAACGAGTAGTGTGAAGCTGTGGAAAGCCTGTCGTCTGATAAAGAGAAGGGATTCGGTCTGTTGTGTAGTTCCCGGTGTGAAAATTCTGTCATATCAGCAATCATACCTATGTTCGCCTTTAAACCCTTTCTTATGTGAATGAGATCCATTCCAGATAAGATCTGACGCCCCGCTTCATTTCACTCATTTTGACATCATCACAGATGTATATTAATTGGCGAGCATAGTATAAGCAATTCTAGGTGGGCCTTGTACAAAGTTCTAAAGTGGCTAACTGAAAATGACATACATGATGCTTTAGGTTAGAATTCATGACATCTTATGATACCTAGAGCAGTATGCCTACATTGCTAGAAGCATCCCCTCTTCACTGTACACGTGCCTTGTGTGCATGGTGGTACGCTCGGCCATGTCGGTGAAGAGCATTCATTCTTCAGGCCAAGCTTAATGATTGTTGAGATCTCTTGGTCGCATGTCGCTGTCATAATTCAGTTCTGTCCAGAATCTAAGGTTATCTGAAGAGATGGCTGATATACAGAGTCAATAGATGGAGCCAAAACCTCACATCTTCCAGCCTATAGCTTAGTTCTATTGTCCAGAAAGAGTTTCGCGGCGATTCTTTTTCTGTATGTCAACGACAACGAACTCTTTAATCAAAAGCTTTCCAGTTCCATGACATTAACAAATGCCCTGCTGAAGTCGTAAAGGGCAAAACCAGTTGGCTTCTGCTTTCCTCCGACTTGATCCAGCTTTCACATGGTTCGAAGAGATATGTTAGACACGAGTAATGTACGCAAATCTCGCACAATACGTTGGATAACGAATTGTTGTTTTCCAGTTAAGCCATGACGTCTTACTCTAATATTCCTTTCAGTGGCTTGATTAACGCGCTGGCAAGACTATTCATTCTTTCATACGGGTGCAGTGCCTATGTCCGCATTTCTGAACATAATTAAACACTAGATCTCTCATGTGAAGTCTTAACACTACTAGTAAGGATAATAGTTATTTGGCCGGCTCTGTAGACTACCGGACCCATGAGAAGCTTCGGTTGAAGCCATCGTGTCCCACAGGTTTCTATTTTTCCAGTTTGTCTTTAAATTTGAAATGGACTTCTCAGTTGGTGTTAATCAAACATATGCTGTTTTCTGGTTGTGCAGTTAGGCCTAATGCTATGTGTGACGCTAATTCCTGAGTGGCAATTCTAAGAATCAATCTGCCATCGCCCCTGTGTTGTTTTGCCTTCCTCACTTTCATCATCTTTGTTAATAAGCAGATTGTGGGCACCATAAAGCATCTTATCCGTGAGCTTCGTGTACGCAAATAATTCATCGTAGTGTTTCATTGCTTTGTGAGGTATGTGTACCTCGAATGATATCGTTGACCGACAGGTTTTTGGAAAAGCTTTGTTTCTAGTTACAGTTACAGCTACCTGGCTTCTGAAATGCCAGTGGCCCCTGACACTTTCCAGAATTCGTATTTGCACTTAAGCAGGCCACTAATATTCTAGCCTATTCAATGAGAACAGTGTTTCGGACCCTTGTGGACGACCCATGGAATGGATTGTTGGGTTAATTTGGAATATAGTCATTTGAAAAATACCAGTGCAAATCCCAAAAATGGCCTTCAGATTTTTGAAGCGACTTTCTGAGTAGGCTAATATCAGACCCTCACACGATTGGTAAAGCTGGGTTTATCGCTCGACAAGCAAAAAGTCAATGGATTTAAGATGAGACCTAGCGCCATCATCCCTATCTGGAAAAGTACGATTTTGCATGAAGTTCACATAACGCCACAAAACTAGGTCCAGAGTTTAAGTGGGCACTGGGAATTCCAATTCACCTGTCTCGCGACATTCCGGACTAGTGGAGCTCATTATGAAGATTACGATGGCCGATGGTGGAAGGTACTTTATAATAAATCCATCATCAGGAATTTCCTGTAGACTCAAATGAATTTAAATCACCAAGTTAAGCAAAACCTCTTATCTACAAATAACCAATACCGAGAAAAGAAACCGACATTCAACAGACAACTAAAGGCGGTAATGGATATTCTCCTTATATGGCGGCATCAATATTCTAGTGAGTTATATGAACTCTATAACACCTATGCAGCTCGAAAAAGCTGCTCACGCAGCTACTCCTAAAGCTGTTAAGGCAAGAAAAGCTACTCCCCAGTTGGAAGAAGATGGAACTTTCAACACTGTCGGAGAAGTGTTACACGCCAAAAATGATGCAGGATACTTTCTCTGTTCACTGCAATCAAAATATTAGGCCAAATCATCATATAAACATTGAAAGATGTTATGAACAGAGGACTTCGCACGGAACACGCCGCCTACTACCACCGATGGATTTTTGATTGTGGTGGACTGAACCATGTGTCACACTGCAGGGGTTGAGAAGCTTTGCATACACTGGGGAGTCAGGAGTCACTGGTAGTGTTATCTTGTCCTCCCCGGAATGTTTCTCATAGTCATGTATCTGAATTCCCTATTATTAACATGAATTCAGTGATAATATTTAATTTAGAGACTTAGCGCCAACATCAACAATAGCTACTTAAAAAGACCATAGACCTTCATCGGTACCTGCTTGCTCTGGTCCGATTCCAAAGATGAGGCGTATAAGTGATAAGGATCCCTGTAGCTGCAGCAGGCCAGCCTACAACTTGTTGTTCAACACATGTGCAGGAAAAATGGTACTGAGTTAGACATACCCTGAGGAGACTTCTGAGTGTCATAGCATGTAAGGCGGGATGCCAAGTAAAACCCTAGTTAGAAGCGGCCAGTTAAGTACCAGGTCTGTCTGTCTGGATTCAACATAGAACTTGGCACCGAAGTGCAGCAGTTCGAGTTGCCACGTTCCAAATAGCACACAGAGGTAGACAAGAAGATGAGTGGAGAGAATCAATAGAGTTTGACAAGTATGAGAGTGAAACAGAATGGGTAATGGTAGAAAGGAATATGAAAGATTACAGAGACTGAATACATCTGCGCTGGCCATTGACAACGATTTTGAGCCATGTCACCTATTGTCTCCAGCCATTGATTCCTAGAGTCCCGAGGGCCCCAACCCGGGAGTCTGCATCTCCCTACCTGACTCAGTTTAACTGTCAAGGATTTCATGGATTGATGATGCCATGTTTTTGTTTGGCCACCACTGGCTCTTTTCCAACCTTCACCTATATCAGCTAGCAATGCCCGTCGGGGGAGGCGGTGGTTAGGCATGCGCAGCACGTGACCTAGCCATCTTAGTCTATGTAACTTTATAGCCTCGTCGATTGATTTTCCCTCTTTGCCCAACACTCTACGCCTAACGTCAACATTACTTATCTTGTGAAACCACCTAACGTGAGACAGAGATCGCAGACATCTATGATCGAAAGCAGTCAACCTTTTCATGTCTTCAACGCGTATTGGCCATGTTTCAGAGCCATAGAGAAGGACGGAGCGAACTGATGAGCAGTACACACGTCCCTTGGTTGATAACCGGATGTCACGCCTACGCCAGAGATGGTGTAAGTCAGCGAAAGCAGCTCGAGCTTTTCGGATCCGTGCTGAGATTTCATCGCCAATCAGTCCGTTGGTGCTAATACAACTTCCCAAGTAGGTGAAGTGGTCAACATGTTCTATCACTTCACTCCCTATCACTAAGTTAGGGGTTGACGTGGTCCAGTCCTGTAGCAGCATCTTACATTTTGTAGGGGCGAATCGCATGCCAAACATACGAAGATTGCTGCTCAAGGTGTTCAGAAGACTCTGCATTTTTTCAGCATCCTCCCCTAACAGGACTATGTCATCTGCATATTCTAAGTCCATTAGATTATTCCCTGGTAACAAGTCGATTCCTAAGTCACTACGTTCAGTTAAGGATACTTCCGTTAGCATATCTATGACGAAGTTAAACAGAAATGGGGAAAGTGGACATCCCTGTCGGACACCACTGGTTGTTACCAATTCAGATGACAATTCCCCATAAGCCCTTACACGACTACGTGAGTTTGAATAGAGTGCCTTGATTAGTGCAATGTACTTTCTTGGCACTCCCTTCACAGTCAGACATTGCCATAGTGTGTGCCACAAGGACGATCTGAATAGAAAGCGGGAAGTAATGCGTAACAATGAGGCTCAGTGACAATGATGTCAGAAAACAAATTACATTGGTGGTGGGCTGCTGAGGCCGTATGTTTTATATGGATTGAAGGAATAAAGGGTGATAACACAGTTTAGTCCGGTGTCTACATATTCCACCTTCAGGAGTTTATGCATCATCAGGCTTTTGTATTCACCACCTGGAAACTCTTGATAATAATGATCTTCTCGTTTAGCAGCGTCACTAATTTAATTCCGGTCCGGCAAACTGTTTTTTTATATACTTTGTTATGCACTGGTATTCACAAACGTGCGTGACCGATGTCTTAATAGTAGAAGGGCTATGTAGTGCTTAGTCTCCTGTAGTCGCGGATCATTCTATGGCTTTCACGACGTACAACTTTTGGCTGGTTCTGTTCAGAGTATGAAAAGTGATGCCTGATTCCAAAGCAATCAGTAACGTAATTTAGCTGTTCCTAACATCCATGATGGTGCACAAAGTTGCTAGCTGTTTTCTTTAGCATATGAGGATGATTGACAGCTGCCACCTAGTAGATGTTTAGCGTGGCTGACGGTAAAGTCACAGCCATATGACCCATGGTGGATCATTAGGTGGTGGGTTCATTGATCGAATGCACTTCAGCTGCTTGCTGACGTATGCTGCAACTATGCCTTCCCCATGACACCTGTTCGGCCTAAGTGGAACCAAATCCCCTGTACTGACTTCGGCGTCCATAAAACTGGAGATCAGCCATATTTCTATTAGCATTATTATTTTCAGGTCGAGGTAGTATTGTAGGTTCCTTAGCTCACCCACTCTACCTGTCAACCTAATCAAATGGTTATGTTGGCAACTGTGTGTCCTATATAGATAGGAATAAATATAATAATATCCAGTTCCAGCACCTCGCTTCACTGCAAGTTAACTAGCACGGAGCAGAAACCGGGTCAGGAGCTGATGTCCAAAATGGTTGGTTGATTCAAACCCGTTTCCTCTTTCCCACTCTAGCCTTTTAGAGACGGCTGCTCGACCATGGTTGTCACCCTCCTTTGGGTTACG